TTATCATAAAAACAGCTATTATGAAAGGTTTCCTCTCGAAATGGAAATGGGCCCGTTTTTGCATGTTTTGTCACAAAAATTCGATACGTTTCATTTTCGGTGTATGGCTTCCGTGAAGTCTCAATTGGATAGTAAAAAATGTACATAGGTCCATAAATATGCAAAATATGGTTCAGATTGATGTAGGTACCTAATATACGAGTATAAACACAAAAGATTAATTTATCAATCATGCTACTCAAGTAGCAGACTTGTAACTCAGTTTCGAAATTCAATAATGTATAAGTGAAATTATGCGAATATTTCATTATTAGAAAAATTTAAATAAGTTATAAAAGTCTTGGAGAAGAGAGAGAGATGGTTTTCTGAGGTTTTTGTGTGATTTTATCTCCCATAGACTGGAAAAAAATTGTAATTATGATTTAAAACTTCATAGATATATACCAGTGACCAGTCCTGGCTCCGCACAGGTGCAATGCTGATACTATGTATACACATAAACACGTGTGATCGCTGCTAATCAAAAAGTTGTATTGAGCGAAGTGTGACCTTTGATGTGCTATTTATAGGCACGAGTTGCCGGTCTCCGGCCGGTACCGCCGCAACCGCTATGTCCTTGCTTTCTAAATCTGTAGTATCTACAGAAATATTCAATCAAATCACATGCTGTAATGAGCCTCATTGATCTATTCAGAATGCACAATGTATTTGAAGTACTTAATTGGGTAAGGACTGATGATGTATTGTTTAAAATCGCTTTGTAAATACCTAAGCCATAATTTCTTGAAATGATAAAAACTGGTTATTGTGGGTTATCCCTAAGTAATAGACATATACCATCGCGGACTTTTCTGTTGACATTTTCAAGGTTTACAATACTGTACTAGGTATATTATTTTGATCTATCGCGTAGGCTTCAGCCAGCGTTTGCAATTTAAGCGCGAAAAAATTACGACATTACATTAGAAACCTCTGAAATTATCAGTGTTTCTCTAATATATTATGCATACCTTGAAGAAAATTTTCTATAGTGTGAAGGAGTATTTTTATCAGAACAAGTTTCATTCTGCATGTACCTACTAGAACTATTTTTTTAATAGTTTTATTTGTATTGATTATGAATGGATGTTTCAACATACGTAAACTCAAAGATTTTCATGTACCTACATTTCATTTTTTATAACTTTTATATGACTTTCCCAATACCATGTATTTAGTTTAATCGTATTGATGGATAAATATATTATTGTTATTATTATTATTATTATTATTATATTATCCACGTAGCAAAAATGTCTTGTAAATACCATTGTCTTCTCCAAACGTTTCTCACGGTCACTACTTTAGAGCTGGAAAAATATACGATTTTCGCAATAAGTCAACGTTATATACATGAAATAGCCATGATGCTCCGTAGGTGGCTCGGAGAGTCATTAACATTGCCTACTCAGGACACAAAACATTATAAGTAGGTAATACTTCCTCACTGCAGAGTTCATTAGACAGACAACTTTTTTCTTGTACAGTGGTTAGGATTACATATCGTTGGTAAAACAATATAGTTTTATCAATACCATATAAAAGATTATTGTTGGACAATTAATGCTATGTCTAACTATTATTATTCATCTACCCTGGTCTGTCACCTATCAGGCAATTTGGCAGTAACACAACACCTTTCATCGGCATATTATACCTATACGTGAGTATATCTGAATCAGAATCTGAAATCTTCCACCGGAATATTTCAGATTTTACCAAAATTCACATACGCCTCAGAAACACGCACTAGAACAAAACTTCCCATTTAACTATCTCATTGAACATGTTACAATTATATCCCTAAATATATACCATCCTGGTGTATCTCCAAAACTTTTGATGAAAAATATGGACAAAATTCAGTTGTTCATTATACAGGGTGTTCTTTAAACACATGCTAATATTTAAGGAGGTAATTCTTAGACCCATTTTAAGGAAAAAACGTCCTATGGACGTATGTCCTAAACGCCTTAACTTTTGAGATACAGGGTGGCAAAGTTTTCAAAAATAATCAGTTTTTTAATAATAACTGAGATAATTTTGTAGACATCTTTGGCATATTTGGTACATATGTTCCATGCCCCAAGGCGCATTTTCTGATGTACAATTTTCTTAATTTTCTCTTCCAGTGGCGTGTATATTTTTGGCGAAAAAAATACTACGCCACTGCTTTATCTTGAATTAAAAATTATTTTTAAAATCTCCATACATTTTTGAGCACATTTGATTTGCTGGGTTTCTTAAAAATCGCTATACTTAAGGATAAATTCCTTAAAAATCTGATGCGGTATCGTGCATCGACTGAAAGCAAACTAAGAGATCAGATTTGTTGCAAAACAATTGAGGATCTAAAAGGTATTTGTTTGTTGTCAGATGCACTGTTCTCAATTAAAATTACGTCATAACGCAGCACCGCTTAATTTTTGAAAACATAAATTTAGTTATCCTGGAATAAATGACGTGTAGCAGAATTTATTTACTGCACCTCTTGAAAATATGGAGTTTGTCGATATGTGATTTCTTTTAAAGATTAAAAGCAGAAAAAACAGCGTACCCACCATAGCAATAAAAAATAAATTCTTTGTATGTACAAACGTCAGTAGCTAATATTGATGTTGGTTTAAAGTAAGGTGTTGGTGTTCAAAACTGTCACAGCACGTTTTGATTGATTTTGAAGTGTTATTGAAGTTATTTTGGTAGTCCGCTGTCTTCCTGAATATCAGTAAATATGGTAAATTATACGAATGCGAAAATGGCGCAAATGCATTACGTACATGGCCTTGCCGAAGGTAATGCAACAGAAGCCAGACGCATTTATCAGGAAAGATATCCTAATCGTGCCTTACCAGATAGCCGAACCTTTTCAGATATTCATCGTCGACTTGGGGAAACTGGTAGTTTCAAGAAAGGGACTCCGGAAGGTAGACCTCGTGTAGTAAGAACTCCTGAAATTGAGGAAGCGGTGCTGCAAGAAATTGAGAAACATCCTGAGACGAGTACGAGGAAGATCGCTAGAACTCTGGATATTTGTCATCAAATTGTTTGGCGTATTTTGGTTGGTTTTTTGTTATACCCATACCATATTTCAGGAGTGCAGGCATTACTCCCCAGAGATTTTCCACAGCGTGGGAACTTCAGTCAGTGGTATCTACAAAGTATTGCACTAAATACGCAGTTTGAGACACAAATTTTGTTCACAGACGAAGCAAATTCTTCTCGGAATGCCATTCAAAATTTCCATAACAATCATGTGTGGGCTAAAGAAAATCCCCATGCAATAACCGAAACCCATTTTCAACACCAATTTTCAGTTAATGTATGGACAGGAATTATAGGTGATCATCTAATAGGTCCATTTTTTCTACCAGGACGCCTTGATGGTCGTTCTTATTTACACTTTCTCGAAGAAGACTTACCTGGGTTATTGGAAGATGTGCCACTTGCGTTAAGGAATCGAATATGGTACATGCACGATGGCGCCCCTGCTCATTTCAGTGTAATTGTCCGAAACCATTTAAATACAGTTTATCCTAATCGTTGGATAGGTCGCGGAGGACCTCAGCAATGGCCAGCAAGATCTCCCGATCTCAACAGTTTATATTTTTTTATGGGGTCACCTTAAAACTCTTGTGTATAAAACTCCCGTTGATACTTTAGAAGATTTGAGAGAGCGAATAGTTGCCTCGCGTGAAACTATACGAAATACGCCGGGAATATTTGAACGGGTGCGTAATTCCATGCGTAGAAGGGCGGAAGCATGCATACTAAGTGCAGGTGGCCACTTCCAACAATTTTTATAATCAGTTTTGGTATTATTACTAATTAACAAATTTGTGCTATTTGTTTAGACTTACTGTCACAAAATAAAATAAAACTCGTTTTTGTGAAAAATTTATTTTTTTGCAGATTATGTTTTCAAATATTATTAGGGAATTGGTAATGCGTTATGAAGCAATTTTCAAATTCTCATTCATTTTAGAATTGATCTACTTTCTTAATTTGCTTTCTGTCGATTTTTATTTTTTGAGTGAAAATCATGCGTCGGACAAAGAAATACCAGGAGATCAAATTTTCTCAAAAATAAATGAGGATTTTAAAAATGATTTTATTTTGAAAAGAAAGCATTGGCGTAGTACTTTTTCCCCAAAAATATTCAATGCGAAACCCGTAGGGATGCCATTGTTTGAAAAAATACAACTTTGAGGCATGGAACATAATATGTACCAAATACCTATGCCAAAGATGTCTAAAAAATTATTTTTGAAAACTTTGCTACCCTGTATCTCAAAAGTTAAGGCGTTTAGGACATACCTTAATAGGAAGTTTTTTTCTTAAAATGGGTCTAAGAATTACCTCCTTAAATATTAGCATGTGTTTAAGGAACACCCTGTATATCTGTAGCTATTACACATTTCTTCAAAAATAATAATGAATCATCATTAATGCTGTTATTTCTTCACAAGATCGCCTGAACAAGGGAACTAATTCATTCATTAATTAAAACAACCAAACAGTTTTTACTAAAGAATGAAAATAATGAAGGTAAGCCTTTCAAAATTAAATACCACCATGTCAATTAAGAACACATAATTCGAAATTACTTCTCGTGATTAAGTTATAACAATTTGAAAGGCAGTTTTAAATGACCATAAACAAGTGTAAACTCTTAAAGCTGCAGTTATAATAATAAAAATCCAGAAAACAAAATAAAGGTAGCAACAGCAATCCAGCAAAGTGGTGCTAATGTTTCACATTAAAAGAAAACAACAACTCCACAAATAAACTGGGGTACTGTGGAGTAGTTACGGACAACCGAAGATCATTGGTTGATTCGAGTAATAAGGAATTTAACTGAGGGCGGAGCTTGAAGTAACGCCCACCTAAATCACGCCCCTCGAAAACTTACGGAAACTTAACCATGTTCAGTCGTTTGTTCAGTTTAGTTTGAGCACCTTGAAGTTGTAGACGGCTAAAAAAATATTTACTAATTGAGTGTATCATAGCGCGTTTATCACAATGAATTCGTGAAAGTGTGAACAGCTACCGCGTGAGCCATTTCAAATACTTGAACACATATGCTAAGACACTCGTTCGAAAGTGCTCAAATAATGACTATCCAAACTTTGGAAAATTCAGACACTAAGCACGGCGAAACCATGCAAAATATTAGTGATAAAGAAACAGATGACGCACACCAGCAGATAACGGCTGGAAAAAACGGACATATTAGTTTTAGTGTAGCTTCCTTGCTCGCTGACACGCGGCCTGTGAGGCCGTCTTCTCCCGCCTCCCACAACTCATCGACGGTACCATCCACCAGTCCAGTTCACCAGTCCTCAGACGAGGAGTACGACTCCAATCAGGAGGATTCCATAGTCGACGTGGAAGACTTGAACTCGGACCAGAAATCTGAGGAGGTCTCGGTAAAAGACAATAATTTTTTTTCGCACAGAGACAAAGAACTATCCAAAGAATCCTACCTTAATCAAGGCCCCATCAGGCCGACACCTTTTTCTGCAATTGCCGCCGCTGTATATCAAGCGGCACATCCAAATTGGCCACATCAAGGATTAGTGAACCCGTTTGGAGGTCCGGGTCCCATGTTTCAGAGTACCACGCCTTTTGGAGTACCCAGCTTGAATTCAGGTAGGTAATTATGGGGTTGGATGTCAACATTGACAGTTCAAACATTTTTCTGCCATAACCTGAAAATTGGTTTTTATCTCTTGGTGATGAATTATGTCGGTTTGGGTTGTGAAAGGATAATTTGAGAGCGCTCATAAATTGATTTACCGCTTTTTAAATTTGGCAATTCAGATCTGTACTTTTTTTATTGGGTTACGCCTTCTAATAATGTAATAATCTCACTTTGAGGATGGGTATTAATTAAATTTGGGAGGCGTGTATTACTGGAAGTGCGACCGTTAATAAAATGGAGACTAAAAAAGAAAATGAAAAATTGAAACATAATTAAAAATCATATATGAACTTTCAGAATCTAAGGGATGATTCCCAAGTTAAACGTACTTGAAAAACATGCTTAATATTATTATTCCGATTTCATGTTATTTCATTTTATTTTCGTTTGTTTCATCGGTAAATCAACAAACGAATTACCTACTGAAGGAAGTTTACTTACTATCACCAATTTGCGAAAGTAATTTTTTTGATATTTAAATAATTGCTATTACTACAGAAAATGTATTCATAATGCAGACTGAGTGGGTATTGATGATTGAACTTTATTATGAAAACGGTAGGTGCGCTGATGTTACAGCATAGATAATTATTGTTTAATGGCCAGAATTCGAATGAGCATGTTAACTGAAAATGCTCTACTGAATTTGTTGCCAAATTAAGAGAGACAGAATTGGTGACAAATGAAAAAAGTTGCCTCCAAATGAAAACGCATGATGTTATGGGCTACGTCAGTATTGATCCTACGTATAAATTAGGCAACTATTAACATTTTTCGCCACGAGTAAGATTTTGAAATTCCATAAACTCCACTCATATAAAATTCGTTTTGATGTTTGCAAACCTTTGCAATTTTGCGAGTTATAAGGGATATAATTGATAACTCCTGTTTTCCCCTGTTTTTCAGAATGGTATTGGACGGGAATTTTAATCGCTCTAACTATAGATATTAATTTAACCAAAACCCAGACTTGTTTCATAAAGTACGTAAGCCGTAAGTAGCTGAACGTGGTTGGTCTTTTTTTAACTAGGAAATCTTACAGAAAAAAAAAGTACTTGCAATTATATAAGTGGAGACCGTCAATTCCGCATTGACCCAAGTTACCGTTGAAACGAGAATGAGTTGACATTTCGACAAACCTTTACTGTTCATCAATATTTGAATGAAACTTTTCCTGGTAGTTGGATTGGTCGAAGAGGAACAGAGGATTGGCCGGTGAGGTCACCTTGTTCAATTTCGTTGTTCTTTGTGGGGTAGTTGTGGGATTACAGTTCATGAAACCCAACTGGTGTAGATGATTTACGTCAACGAGTTATTGCTGAATATCGGAACATTTTCCCTAAATTGCTTCAAAACGTCCGGAATCGCTCTGAATAAAACCCCTGTCACTGCATAGAAGCAGAAAAATGTCATTTTAAACAGATACTTAAATAAAAAGTTTACACGAAAGAAATATTCAAATGGTATTTTTTATTATCTCTTGCTATAACGCTCTTCCCTAACACAAATAATGATTTGTCAGAATATGTTTAGTTAATATATGTAATGTTATAATGATAATGTTCTTTCGACAATGAAGTCGGCAATACATTCACGTCACTGTATGCGAGAGAACATATATTATTATCGTAGTAATCTATGCTAATACAATATATGAAAAATGAAAACATAGGAGTATACAAGCGGCATGCATAAATAGATATTTACACATAAGAGGCATGTCAAAAAAAATGTGAATTATAAATTTTCTCAAAAAATATGTATTTATTTATTCATTTCTGTTTCGTCCTCTTCAACGTAGTCCTTCTCAGATATAATACACTTGTACCAGCGTTTATTTCAACCCTTGAAGCAGTTATGATATGCACTTTTTGGTAGGTAGATCTTTGAGCTCTCTTAGCAAGTTGGTTTTTATCTCCTCAATCATCCCAAAATGACTTCCTTTCATGGGTCTTTTCAATTTTGGGAACAAAAAAGTAGCAGGGGGCCAAATCTGGTGAATACCGTGGCTGATACATGATTACGGTGTTGTTTTTGATAAAAAATACGAACAAGCAATAACGCGTAGGCAGGTGCATTGTTTTTTCACAATACCGGACGTTTCCTTCGTATTACTTTTCGCAAGCAGTGCTAACTTTAAGGATACCTATTACTCCTTATTACGCGTACGACCATGTGGCAAGAACTTCTGATGAACTACGCCACGACGATTTGGCAAAACTTTGGCGTTTGATCAAACTTAGCGTGCTTTTTTTGGTCTTGGATCTTCTGGGCTCTTCCACTGGGACGATTGGACATTGTTTTCGATGTCATGATTTGTCACCAGTGATGACCCTTTTATGTAAATCTAGATCGCCGTCGACGTCATTCAACAATTTCTGAGCGATGCTCATGCGACAGGTTTCTTGGTCAAAATTCAGCAATGTTGAACTTCGCTTCCACACGTCATGTACCAACCGGTGTGCCGACATCCTCAGCAACGTCTCTAATAGTGATTCGACGATTCCACATAACAATTTTCTTGACTTTCTCAACATTTTCATCGGTTGTTGATATGCTGAATCGTCCAGGGCGAGTGTCATCATTCACATCTTCTCGACTTCCTGTGAAAACATTTTTCTGACTCAGAGTACAATCACCGTATGCCACTGTTGACATTTCAACTGTTTTTGAGCACTTAATTCTATTTTCACACAAAATTTGATGGACATTCTTTGATCCATTTTTTTCGATAGCAGAAAATCGCTGGACATACTTCTAACTTTTATGTCTCTCACCAACAAACTAAATATGATAAAAATCTGAAACTGTGGAAACATTTCCAAGATGATTGTACCAACATAAATTTATAAAAAACGCTAATCGAATGTACGTAGCTCGCGAAATTTTAACAATCACCTTATTTTTTTAACACTCCTCGTATATCAAGGTGGCCCAAACGAAGTCTTCCAAAAAATGTTTTAAGATTGGAGACATTAGAAATCTGTTTAAAATCTGTTTCTCGTTAAACAGCTATCGCACCTCTACGAACGACAACCCTCAGAAGTCGAGACTTGTGCGAGCTAAGGATTAACGAGGTCTTACCTCTTACCACTGACCAACACGGCAGTCAATTCAAGTGAGTGAACAAAGCAACCACTTCGAACCGACTGGCTACCGACCGACTATGTATCTATGTTATACAAATTTATGTAGGTGCTCAGTTTTTCAGCTATGAGGTTTTTAGTGTGTCTATGAGAATTTTCTGCCGGATGGCTCAAATATTTTTTTATTGTTTTGCGAAAAGACTTTTCATGCGCAGCGTAGATATTTCTACTCCACCAAAGATGAACCAGAAGCAATAGAAAACTACCCCAATGATTTGAATATGTCCTTGCTTTTTTTCGTCATCGACATCATCGAATACTATGATCATTAGACCCGTGTTCTGGGTAGTATATGTCAATAACTCCCCGAGCCACCCAGTTGAAGTGTCATTGCTATTTCCAGTCTCATCAAAGGGATATTCGAACTCAAGATTTTGGATTGTATTTCAGGCACACTATAGCGCTCAACTGATTTACCGCTACTCTGACTTCCGGTACATATTCTAATAGGTATTTCGAATTTAATTTGAATTATCAAAGGAAGTTAAAGAAGATACCGTCAACACTATGATGAAGCAAATCTTATTTCATCTATATAGCATTGACAATAACAATAATCACACAAATCCGATACCAACAACCACAACCATTACCATAACAAAAATCGTAACCATCATTATAGTCATGAAATCCAATGTAATGCATAACTATTTCTTTGTATGTAATACCTCATTCCTCTGGTCTTTCTGAAAGGATGAGACTAGTCGGTTCTGATTGGAATCTGTTTAAAATCTGTTTTTCCGTTAATCAGCTGCCGCCCCCATACGAACGGCAACTCTCAGAAGTTGAGAAACTTGTGCGAGCTAAGGATTAACGAGGTCTTACCTTTTAACGTGTGATTCCTAACACGGTAAGGAGGAAATAGGGAGAAAGATAAAAAATTATGTTAAGTGTGTGAAAAATGAAATTCTAGTCAATAAAAAATAACGAAATCCAATGAAATGAGATATAGAACAATACAAATTTGCTGAACACAAAGAACAAACAGAAAGAGAGCAGAGATGATTTTCGAAACGTTGTCCGAATGGAGTGAAAATATCATTTCAAATTCATATTTTCGGTTTTCAAATAAGTTATAGGCAAAATTTATGAAAAAAGTGTTACCTACAGATAAGTGGGATGTATCTTTTTATAAAAAACCAATAATGTCGAGAATTAAATAATATTCTTCATTCTAACTTTGAAAGCATTACCGTCAAAATAATATCTCAATTTCATATTATCTTGTTGAACCTGTGTGTTTTCATCCCGTTTTCAAAAAACAACCTAGGGTTAATTTCAAAACAATCAACTTTTTGCCCGAGAAGCGATTAGTCAGGGGACGGTGCAATTCGTATTTACGACACACGGCAATAGAAACCGACGAACATTTTAATTAGTAGTAAATGAAAAATTGAGCCATCAAAGTGGAAGTCATCATGATCGCTCTGTGACTGACGAATAATAGCTTTCGGAAAAGGTGATGATCGTCGCTGGCTCTTGAACAATAATTGAGGTACAGTCGTTAAACTAAATCGGATTTATTACCAGCAAATTCTCATTACGTTGAAAAACTTTTTACTTCTTGACGATATTACCAACTTCAAAGAATTGCTGTGAAATTCATTTGTATTTCTCTTGCAACTGTTAATTGTTAAGCGTAGAAGTCATAAGAGAAAAGCCGGTACTCAATCTTCACTTCAGAACAGGCACTTACTATATATTTATACAAAGTTATGGGGTACTTAATTCATATCAAAATTGCATTGATCAGAACGTAGTCGAATTATATCATTGAATAATTTATGATCTCTTCGCCATTT